CTATTTGTAGGGAAGAAACACTACAGGGCCAAGATTCAGAAGATAAGTGTTAGATTTAGCTATACATCTTTGACTTCGTATCTCTTTGGCTCTTCCTTTCAACTGTAAGAGGTGTACATCTTTTCTTGTGCCAAGTCTAAGATTTCGACTGTAGTTTTGAGACTCTTGAATCTGGTCTATTATTCACTTTTTTTTGTTGTTGGTTTTCTTTGCTTGTTTCCCTAGATGATTCCTTTAAATACTGAATTTCTAAAGAGCACTTACAGTGTAATTGTCTAATGAAAAGCAAGCCTGTTTAGGAGCAACATATATAACATAATAAGAAGTGTTCCTTCTTTTAGTGAACAGCTCTTTATAGCAAAATCTCACCTACAAGGTGTCCTCAAGCTTGGTACAAAATGTGTATGCAGTATGTTATGAGGCAGTTCTGTTAAGGTACATTTGGATCTTTGGATGTGTGGTTTGTTTAAAATACACTGCATTAGTAAGTTTGCAGCTCGTTTCTTTATGCTTTCTCTAAAAAGATCAAAAGCTGTAAAAGGTTTATTTCAGTTCACGTGGTAGTGTTTTGTGTGTGATTCTTTGTTTCTGTTCTAAACTGTTATTAACCACTGAAGTGAACCTTCTCCCGGGTTTGGCCTTTTGGTATTCACAGTGTATTCAAATCCTAATTACAGATTAGTCTATATTTGAGACTTTTAGAGCAAGTATCAGAAGTCTCAAAAAAAAAAATGAGAGTAGCAGTATCATTTCATGTGGAGATAAAGAGACCCAAAACATGAATGAGTGTCAAGTCATCCGAAGAAAAGAAAAAAGAGAAGGAACTTCATTCACTGAGACTGACGGTTTATGAGTTGGGGATTATGGGAATATTCATGACTCAATCAAGAAGCACAATGAATTGATGTTTGAAATTGTTCATCTTTTAAGTAAACATTGGACAAATGGAAAGTAGACTCAGTATTCACTACATGTGGAATTGGCTATTTCAGTGTAACAAAAATAGCAGTTTGTTAATCCCTTCCTGAGTTGGTTTAGTTTATCAAGTAAATCACAAATTTATAAGAATTCTAACTATATAAATATTTATTGCAAATATTTAATAGAAAAAGGAGTTTGCTCTATAATTAGCCATGCTAATATATACACATTTTTCTGTGGGAAAGTAAGTTCTAATGGTGAAAAAATTAAATACCATAATATTTGGGGATTTGAAAACACTGTAATAGTGAGACATTAATTTGGAAGGATCAGAAAGTGTTAAGTGTTAGTTGCTAACATTCCAATTTGATTTTTACACATAACTCAGTTTTCTGTGCAGCCAGGAGGCATAGTTGGTATACAAGACAGTGCTGGAACCTTACATCAGAATTTAAAATGAATGAATTCAAATATGGAAAATAATGCTGCTATATTATTTGTAACATAGCTTCCTTGCAAAGCATGAAATCATGCTTGTGTGTGCTTGTGTAGTCAGCATATTTTAGCCTTCTTAAGGTGCAATAATTAAGTTGTCCCTCACCCCACCCCCTATTCCCCACCCCGCCCCCACAAAATGCTATTGTGTTCTAAGACCTGAGTATTCTCTGTTCCTTGGTGCTTTATGTGGTTCGGGTGACCCACCAGCTTTCCTTGATCTTCATTGTCAGTGTATACCCTGCCTCCTGTTCTCAGACTTGCTCTAGCTCTTGTGATCCTGGCATAACATCCAGGAAGCATGTTAAGTGCTTTTTTTCCTTTCTTGATAACCTACAGCCCTCATTTTCCATGTCATACTTTTGGGAACTTCATTTATCAAATATTTATTGAGCATATATAGCGAGTCAGACATTGTTGTAGACACTGAAGATGCTAAACGTTTTGGGGCCAGTTTCCTACTCTTATATTGTTCTCCAAGGGTCTCTCCAAGTGTGTATAGATCTAGTCTCCTCAAGAGGTAATAATATTCATCCGAGTATGGTAGCATAGTATACATTTTTTAGACATTTCTAGGCACAGAACTACTTAGGAGGTGCTCAGTAACTATCTCACTCCCTAATTTTTATCAAAATGTCTTATCTTACATAAAAGGTAAAACTTTCACCAAATACATTTGAAATAATAGCATTTGTTTTGTTACCATTTAGAGTCTGCATATGGTAGCAGATCTAGTATGTGTTTCTTAATTGGAGGAGTGTGGACAAGGCTAACTCTCCAGGCTTAATGTCCTCACCTTTGGCAGTGAAACCTGCTGGGTTGTATGAGGACCAAATGAAATGTGGGATCTGACATCACGCAAAACATAATAGACACTTACAGACTTAGAGAGAGGTAGAAAGTAAGCAAGGAATTCTTCTCAAAGGCAGGGTATAATGTGTGTCCCCAGGTCACTCCATTAAGTACATTGTATAAGTGAAGGAATGAATGAAGAAATGTGTTTTTCAATTTAGTATTAAAAGGATACATTTATCACAACTATTCTTTTTTCTTTTAACATTTACTTCCATCCTCTTCTCTCCTCTCCTCTCCCCGCATTACTTCCTAGTAACTTACTAATGTTTTTTGTGTCATTCTTGAGGTTTCAGTACAGTGTCCTGATATTCCGATTGTAAAATATTTTGTATAAAAGCTTTTTAAAGGGAAATTTGGTAATTTTTTATTCTGTGGTTTTCATATTTAAATTAATTAGTTTTTTTTAACTTTCATTTACATAAAACATCACTTATCTCTAATTTTAGAAGAATTTGAATTTGATTCAGATTCCACAGTTAGGCACATGCATCAGAGTGGCTCTTGGCTTCTTTCAATACAAATAGATCTTGCTCTGAACAGTGTCTTGTGAGGGATGCTACTGTATCACTCACTCACAGATAGTCTGTCCAGCTGAACATAGAGGTCATTGACAGGGCAAAAGGATGGGTAGAGCTGGCCGTTCAGCTGCCTGATTGTACTCTGATCATGGAGCAGATAGAATGATTTCCTTTCTTCATACAGTACAGTTTCCCCAAGTAGAAATAGTTCTCGGTCTAATGTTAGAGAGCTGCTAAGGCTCTGAACACTTGTTTTAGATTTCCATGTTTTGTGCTATTTAAGCTAGGTGATTTTTTAAAGACCCCATCCATTTCCAAAATTTTGAGACAGTTTAGAAAACTTTTTTCCACCTGTTTCCCAATCCCCTTTAAAAATTCTTCAACTGATGACCTATAGTATCTGGAATTCTCTAAATGTTCAATGAAGAAAATAGGTGAACTCTTTCTAAGCAACTACATGAAATAATTTTTAAAATAAGAAATGTGGCCTTATTTTGAGAAAGGAAGTATGTTTACTGGTTTGACTGCTAGTTTAAAAACAAAAAAAAAACAAAACAGACTACCAAAAAGTACAAACTAAACTTCCAAGAGTTTAATTTTTTATATATAAGGAGTTACTCCTGCCTTTGTGATAACTAAAATCATATTTTCCCAGTAAATAATTTGATTAAAACAATAGGGGATCCCCCTCCCCTTGCTTTTTTTGGTGTGTGTTAGTCTCGGTCTAATATCAAGAAATAGAAGTGCTGAATTACTGGAAAAAGAAGATGAAGACATTACATTCTTTATATGCAACCCTGGTAGGCTGTGTTGAGTTCCTGCAATGCTAATAAGAATTAACAAAAAGGATAGTTCTTTTTATTGGCTACTCATCACAAATGCTGTCTCACTGTTAAAAAGGGATACTTATATCTTCAATTGCAGATTATTTATTTTTAAATGATACAATTTGTATCTTTTAAAAGATAGAAATGTTGTAAATCAACTATACTTCAATTTTTAAAAAAATCTGAAAAAGAATATAAACATCATGAGAGTGAGAATATTGTCTTATTCAGGCTTTGCACTATGCAGCCATTCAGTGACTGCCAACAAATAAAGTATGCATGAAGTTCTGGGTGGGGGGAAATATAAATGTTGACTATTAATACCTCTTACATGTTTTTTTCTCTAAGATATAAAGTAGAATGCTTTGCAGTTTTGCCTCTAGATCACCAGCTTTGAACCAGTCATTTCACTTTAATTGATAATTCCCACCAACATGTTAAATTGTGTTAACAGGACAAAAATATTTGTTACCATGCTTACTATAACCTGTATTTTAAAATGGGAACTGCATGATTAGGTTAGTGAAGTAGAATAAATCATGACTTCTGTTTTTAATATTAAGAGATAGGCGTGTGTCCTGTGAATAATTTACATTTTGAAGGAAATTTTTATATTTCAGAGAGAAATTGTAGATTTTATTTGAACATCTATAAACATGAAAACCTAAAATCAAATAAAATAATGTAAATCTGTCATCAGTGGTTCTGGTGTTTTTAAACTTTCCTTTCCTCATTCACAGCAAGCAAAGTACGTTTTTATTTTTTAAAGTGTTATTTCCTTTTTCATGTTTGTTGAAAATATTTCGTACAATTTCTTTTGCCGTTCAATTTTAGGACATTTTGACATATAAAGGGTACATTTTAATGTCATATTGGTTGATCTTTGTAACTCTTCCCATTACTTCATACTTAGAAAGTCATTTCCCAGTTGAAGGCCAGTTATATACTCACCTGTATTCTCTTCTAATTTTAAAAAATGGTTTCATTATTGTATATTTTCCTCTGTTCCAGATAATGCTAACTGTGAGTCCTTGGTTAGACTCCAGAGAATCTGACAACTCCTTAAAATTCTATACATAATGGTATATTTATCTATACTTGCATTTTTCTGTGTAAGGATCCACAGCTTGTATTAAATCCTCAAAGGTATCTGTCACAAACCCCCACCCACGCTCCTCCCCTTCCAAAAATTTAGACGCTCTTGCTATTACATAATCTGTTCGAACTTTATTTGGCTATAAGATGGAGTGTGGTGCTAAGGTAATTTTCCCCCCTTTTCCCAAGTCATTAAAGTATCCCAAACCATTTATCTTCTATGATTGGTGATGCCTTTGAAAAATAAATTTGTTTTTAACTAATTTATTATCTCTTTTTATCTCCACAGAGAAAGTTAGAGAAATTCAAGAAAAACTTGATGCTTTTATTGAAGCTCTTCATCAGGAGAAATAAATTGTAATAAGTGAGTAAAAAACTTCTTACTGCGTTGGTAATGACTAAACACAAAATTTATATTTTAGACTTATTTTAATAATCATTCTATTTAACTATATCCAACTTGTTCCTTAATAATAATCTTAATGTAATTAAATAATTTAAAAGGGAGGAATTTCTGAAACTAGATTCTAAATTTTGTATGTATGATGTTCCTTTGAATAACTTGATTGCCTTGTGGCTAGACTAAAAATATCCTCTAGAACTCTTTGAACAGAAGAAAGGTCAATAAAGCTAAGATATTTCATAGTGTGCAGGTGGCTCATAGAGTTTCTGTATGTGAAGAATTGAGCTTTAGCTCTCATTGTTTTATTTCTCATTGTTCATATTCAATGGATAATTGTGTATATGTTCACTTGCAAAGCTTTTTATTTGTCTTGACTAAAAATTTTAACAATTGTTCTTAATCTTATTCTCAACGTTTAAAAACGTTTAAATAAACCATTTTTCAATTTAAAGTAACTTAGATAGCTGTAGAATTTAGGACTCTTCTGAATATATGGGCTCTTGTTTAATTCTGTAGTCTGGCATTATAAGCAGTTCCCAATAAAATATTGTATATTGGAAGACTTCTCTTAATAGCAGAGTTAATTGTTAATTATTGCTGAAGAATTATAATTAGTAAATCTTTTATAGAAGAAGTTGAGAAAGGGAAAATGCTATAATTAAGACCTTATCATTAATTTGAAATATTTAATTACTCACTTTATCTGTGAGCCTTACACTATAGGCAGCCTGCAACACAGTCAGAAGTGAAAGTAGAAATGTGAAAGATTCATTCTCTCCCTAGATGCATTCTGTTCAGAAAAGGCCCTTAAATCAGACTACCTACTTTCTTGTAGTGTAGGGGCGATATATTTGAGAAAGCAAGCTAGAAAGGGAAGCACAGATCAGACCAACATCATTCAGAACAGTATACCAGCAATGAATGAGAGAGGAAGGAGTTAAAAGCTTTAGAATAATGCTTTGTTACTTTGTTTGTCTCTTGCATAAGTTAAGACTGGTGTATGGGTGTATACAAAAATATATCTAGAAACTAAATATCAATCATCTAACTCATACCAAACATAATTCAGTGTTTTTAAGTGTCTGTGTTTGTAAATGTTTTATACAACTTCAATGTATGAAAATTTTCTTTTAAAACCATAAAGTGTTACAATGTCTTCCTCATCATCATAATTACTATCAGTAGTTAACGTTAGGAACATTTTGAGAGTCTTCTGGATTTGGAGATTCTCTTCATAAACACCAGTTTACTTGATGTCTTTGTTTACACATATGGTTTTTTGGGGGGAAAATTCACAGAAACCCCATTAAAAATATAAGGTATGTTTCTGTCTTTTCAATGAAATAAGGTAGCCCACAGCCAACCAGTGTTTTACGGAACAGTCATTGTCACTTCCCTAAGCTGATCAGTGTGACATCTGGAGTTACTGTTGCTGCTGGGAACATGCCTTTTGCTGCCAGAGTGTCTGCCTCAGTTGCAGGCCAGGGCAGTCCTATGAGGCCGGCTGTGTACAGGAAAATAGTCCCAACTTTCTTTGTTCCCTGCTTGTCTCTACTCTCTATGCCACGAACTGTTACATATATCTGTGAATTGGACAGATACATATTTGTATCCTGCAAATCCATTTAAAAGAATAAATCTGGTAAAATTGTAGCCTTGCTTCATTCTGACCATTTAATAAAAGTTACCAAGCATCTTAAAGAATACTTTCGCAATGACAGTTTTAAGATGCATGGAGTTACTCAGCCTGATCGTTTTCAGTAACCAATTCTGATACTTGCTGAAGATGAAGTCCAATATTTGAATCATACATCATGTTTGATAAAAATTATTTTATATTCTGGTGGTGGATATTTTAAATTTAATAAAACTAGCAAACTTAGGCAGTTAAGCTTCAACATTTTTATGATCATGCAGTCGTAAAATTTACTTAGAAATTTTACATTTGTCTCCCTAGACCTAAATTTATCAATGAAAATTCTGTTTATTTTTACAGACCTCCTACTCATAATATAATCACCTCTGCACACATCTGAAGAAAGAAAACTCCAGAGCCTTTTGTCCTGCCTTTTTTTTCTTCTGCTATTCCACCTTTCTAAACATAAAATAAAGTCATGGAATAAAAATATTTTATGCGTGTTAGAGGCACTTTAACCATCAGCTGCCTTTTCAATGGAAAAACAGTGGAAATGGCATTAACATTGTATTGTATTTTTTTGTATTAAAGTGACAAATTGGGATAATTTAACTTGGTATGGCCAGTAGGCTCAGTCCTTGAAGATAAGAAGCTCGCTCTCCTGCTTGTTGTCTGATTTGTAGTGGCACTAGTTCAACTAACTCATTAGCTGATGTTACTCCATGTCAGTTTCTTTTCCAGAAGAAGAATGCTAGGTGTTTTGAAATAAAACTGATGGCAATTTTCTAAAGGCTATCAGTTGTATATAAATTGATATATACTCAACAACCTGCTGAGTTGTTGTCTGTATCTGTAATGTTCTATATCCAGAAACTATTTGACCATGATAATTCAGTTTATATTCATCTCATGAAAGAAAGCGAGTTGACAGAAAAACCCCTCAAATAGGTTAATTTGTATTACAATTCCATGTACATTCAGTGAAAGATTTCAACCCTTCATTGACAGCTTAGAAGTTGCTGTAGAAGCTAAGTGAGTAGCAGCTTACCTATTTGATTCAGTTGATGTTTTTGTACTCTCTCTACCCATTTGAAATTCATTCATTTTGGATGTTGTACACTTGGGCTAGGCTTTCTTGTTAACAGTGTTTTTTTTACCATTTGATAGAGCTGTTTGTTTGTGACATAGGATAGGAAAGATTAAGAATAATCAATTGACTAATTTCATTTAGACTAATTTCAACTATTGTCAAACATTTCAGCTAGGCCTCAGGAAAAAAGCCTTCTTTCATAAGACTGTATTTTAAATAGAAATTATTTCAACAATTAGAATAGTGTTGACCATCCACCTCTTCACAGAATGTTTAAAGAGAAATATAAAGTTTAATTCATTGCAGTTCAATTACAATAATATCCTCACGTCATTTTCATTTTTTTATATAATTTTTTTTTATTGGCTAAAGGACTTTAAAGCAAAGAAAATAGGCCATTTTTTACTTTAAATGTCTTTCTCATTTAACTCTGCTCTTTACTGCCATTTCATTAAGGCTTTATTATTCTAATAAAAATGCCCATTGTGTGACAGTTTTTATTTTACAGTTTACTTAATTCTACAGTTTTCTTGAAATTATGTTTTGGTAACAGTTCCCTTGCCACCCCACATTTTTTTTTTTTTTTAATTTAACATCTACATTCTTTATTGTGATCTCTGTCAAGATCTGACACTTAACATGGAAGGTTAAAGTATACCACAAAATATTTCCGAAATTGAGAATTCAGGAAATATTTGTTTTAAACTGGTTGGTAAGAAAAGTAGATCCAGTTCTAAGCAGCTGGTAGCAGTATACTTTATTTGGGAGCTGAGTAGTCAAGGACGTTGCTGTATCCTTCAGACCTAGGGATAGTAGGTGAATGGAAAGGGAGTAGAGCTCCCCGGTGCTCTGTGCAAAGGTTAGGAAATGACCTTACCGGTTCACTACCTCTAACCAGTGTTGGCCAGTGGGTAAACACCCTCACGGAAGCAAACATCATGCAATGATTAATATTTTTGCAGTTATAAAACACAACCACTTTATAACTACAAATCTATTTCTAAAGAGAAAAAGAAATAGGACCATGTTTATTTCTGTGAGCTATGGATAGGGAAGAATGCCCTCAGCTGTATTTCTACAGATTGCCCCCAAGCAAAAAGGCTGATGTTAAGTCAGTACTACTAGTGCATCTCTTTGTATAAATTTAAGAAAGGTGTGGGGGAGGGAGGATGGATGTCTCCATTTCTTTGAGATCAGTCTTTGTAATTTAAATATATAAATAGATAATACAAATATTATTTAAAATCCCACATTAGAGTCCAGATGTTCCCCGTCCTCCTCAGTAGTCCATCTTCTTTCGTGGGTCATACATTTTTTTCCTTTATGGCTAGTCTCACACTAAGCGTGCTTCCCTCCCCACCCAGAAGCCAGGTATTCATTAAATGCAGATGTTATTAAAAGAAAAAAATAAGATTCAGGTTCTCAACAGTAAGCCCTGTGCATTGTATCTGTAGTTCAGAACTTACAAATGATTCAGGTACCAACAAATCGCTACACAGAAGTATACAAATTTAACAAATAAAAACAAACTCAATATACAGAAGTTAAAGCCTAACCAGACCAGGAATCATTTGTTTTTCATGTCAGGATTTGCAAAGAATAGAATGAACAAAGCTCTGCATGGAAGACTGAACAACTGTAAATAGATTATATCTAAAATTTACTCGTCCGGGTATCAATTTACAAAATCAAACTGTGTAGGCAAATCATGACAGGAAACAAGCGGTTCTTGCAGCTTCACGGTTGAATTATAGTTCAGCTGAGCTTTAGTTATAGGCGGAGCAATCAGCCTTTCTTAGCGGCTTAATTATATTCTCTTTTCTTTGTATTATCCCCGCTTTCCAGGCTTTACTCCAGCAGACTCCTTCCCACAAATTATTTAGCCTCCAGATGCAAATGAATAGTGTAAAAGTATGTAGGGAACATTGCGAGAGTGGTGTTTCCTGACCTTATAATTTGGGAATTTTACACATGGATAAGATTCAGAGTGTAGGTTTAAAAGGTCAATCCCTTAACTAGTTAATAATTTTATTTTTTATTTATTTTGGAGGTATTTATCTGCGAAAAAATTATAATGGTGTTTTAGTTTACCAATAAAGGGGATCAAAGTAATTGTTTTTTAAATTTCAGTTCTCTAAGCTGGTATATGCTATAGTTTCAGGAACTTTAGCAGCATAAGAAATGTGCTCATAAATATGCTTACCTTTTGAATAATCATGGCTTTGTGTTTAAATGTTTAAAACTTAACCTTGTTTTTACTTGTGCACTATGACTGAACTCGTATTATTTTTTAAAACCTTCACACTATATGTAGATATTACTGCAATTTATATTTTGCCTGTGCTTGATCTAAGGTCATTTGTATAGATGAGTAATTAAAGATACTGAAATCATGTTATAATTCTCTTATTGGAGAACAGTTTTTAAGTTGTCTCTGTTTTAACGAGGGAGAGAGATACTGAAATCATGTTATAATTCTCTCATTGGAGAACAGTTTTTAAGTTGTCTCTGTTTTAACGAGGGAGAGAGAGAGAAACCTGTGCACCTAGGGAAATAATTTGACGTCACAGTATAACCAAATGCATGGTCTCACAAGCCTCTTAAATGTAGCTCTTTTTTGAATGCTTGAATTTCACATGCCTCCCATTGCACAGTTGTAATTTACGGTCTAACAATGCTCTTTTTCATGTCTTGATACTTGTCAATACATTTTGGTATTTTCTTTGGTAAAATATATCTTTTAAGTGTTTTAAATTGCATTTTGCTGCCATGGCCACCATTTTCTTTCTTTCTCTTTTTAAATTTATTTATTTTTGGCTGCATTGTGTCTTCGTTGCTGCGCGTGGGCTTTCTCTAGTTGTGGCGAGCAGGGGCTGCTTTTCATCGCGGTGCGCGGTCTTCCCATTGTGGTGGCTTCTGTTGTTGTGGAGCACAGGCTCTAGGCGCAAGGGCTTCAGTAGTTGTGGCTCGTGGGCTCTAGAGCGCAGGCTCAGTAGTTGTGGCTCACGGGCTTCGTTGCTCCGCAGCATGTGGGATCTTCCCGGACCAGGGATTGAACCCCTGTCTTCTGCAGATTCTTAACCACTGCACCCCCAGGGAAGTCCATGGCCACCATTTTCATTAATGATGCTAACATGTTCAGTCATATATGAGGCTTACTAACAAGTCATCGTTAAGTCTTAGAACTGAAAGGAACCTTAAAGATCACTTAATTCCATCTACCACCTGATTATGAGCTCCCATTTTTTATTTTATAATTCTTCCCAGAACTTTGCTCATAAATGATGCTTATTAAAGATTTGGTGATCATTAGATGTGTAAAATAAGGCAGAGCATGGGTGTGTCTTCTCCAGGATTCATGTGGTTGGCTAAAATCAAAACCAGGAAAAGACTGTAAAGTCATGATTGCTTCCATAAGTGGTAGACAATAGCTGGAGTGTGGTATATCTCTGGTGAATAGGTGTCAAGACAATCTTTGACTTCCTTTAGAAGGTTTATAAGGAAGAACATATTTCAGTCATATGAGCAGTTATTTCACTTGTCAGCGTTAACAGACCAATCCTAGTTTGAGGCCCCCAAACTAGTTGCATTTTAAATTGTTTTCATCCTTTGTGCACTTCAAGTTCAAAATCTTCATGGGTCAAGAAAGTTTGAAGAATTTACTTCCTGAAGATTTAATAGGGTAATTTATGTGTTTTCTTCTAATACTTTCAGCTGAAGAATTAATATCTTTGTCCAAGTGAAGTAGCTACCATGTGCTTGTAAATAATACAGATGCATTATTTAATTATATTACAAAATGTGTTTTAAAATAATAATTATTGTTTCAATAAAATTTAAACAATAAAATACCCAATCTGTGATAACTAAGTCATAATTTCTGCACATATTAGACTAAGCTGATAGAGGTAGAAAACGTAAAAGAGTTAAGACAGGTACTCCAGAAGTTGTCAAAGATCGCAAAGCAGAACAGTGCCAGGACAGCTTAAATGTGAGTGATCTTTAGCCCGAAGAAGACAGTTTTATAAAATAAGGGTAAGAAAAACATACATCATAAGGCATTGGGTTAAATATGTATCTTGAAATGAGAGTTGTTCCCAGCTTGACAATGAGAGAGTGTATATGATCGCCCTCTGAAAGCCTTCTTGTGTGTTTTGTTCGCATTCTATAGGATCAGTGTTAAGGTTCATTTGGGGTCAGGTCACTGATAGGGGGTAACTATAGCTTTTAAATGTTTTTAATCAGTTCCTTATTCTTTGTGGTAAAGGATTCTTATTATTTGTTTTGTTTTGTTTTTAATTAATTAACCCAGGTGTAGCCTGGTTCCTATCCAAGTATTTGAGAAAATGCAAAAAGTCTTTAAAAATATATATATATATAGGCCATAGACCTCACTGAAGAT